CATCTTCTTTTTTTTTTTAATTTAATTTTCTTTTATTTTAATACAGCAGGTTCTTATTAGTTATCTATTTTATACATATTAGTGTATACATGTCAATCCGAATCTCCCAGTTCATCCCCCCACCCCCAGTTTCTCCCCTTGGTGTCAGTACGTTTGTTCTCTACATCTGTGTCTCTATTTCTGCCTTGCAAACCAGTTCATCTGTACCATTTTTCTGGATTCCACATATAGGTGTTAATATATGATATTTGTTTTTCTCCTTCTGACTTACTTTACTCTCTATGACAGCCTCTAGGTCCATCCATATCTCTACAAATGACCCAATTTCGTTCCTTTTTATGGCTGATTAATATTCCATTGTATATATGTGCCATACCTTCTTTATCCATTCATCTGTCGATGGGCATTTAGGTTGCTTCCATGACCTGGCTATTGTAAATAGTTACATCTTCTAATTGACTAATGTCTACAATTGTGACCAATTGTTTCTATGTAAACTTAATTAAAAGATTTTCCTGGAAAGATTGTTGATGTTCACTCGGCTTACTAGCAAGCAGCTTAATCTTTAAAAATCGGCGACTAAAAGCAAACAGCGTTTGTGCGTCTCACTGACTGGTGGCTGGCTACCCAGTGGGTGCTCGTGCAGGCAGCACGGTAAACTCGACTTCCCTGTGCAGAGCGACAGAGCGAACCTCCAACCTCAAGCCTTGAGGACTGTCCTGGGTATCACTCCCAAGGAGAAAAATTCAGCGTTCCTATCTCCTCGGCCATCGATGCCTCTTGGGTAGTCCTTGGCTAGCGCTTAGGGATGGTGCAAGGTAGGACTTGGGGGCAGCTACGCTGCTCCTGCAATTTGGTCTGTCAGCTTCCAGAGCTCTGAGGGGCCCAGGGCTGCCTTGATGGCGCTTGCAAGTCTTCACCTGTTAAGAGCAGCTTTTCAGGGACTTCCCTGGTGGCGCAGTGGGTTAAGAATCCGCCTGTGCAATGCAGGGGACACGGGTTCAAGTCCTGGTCCAGGAAGGTGCCACGGAGCAACTAAGCCCATGCACCACAACTACTGAGCTTGTGCACTATGAGCCACCACTACTGAGCCCATGTGCCACAACTACTGAAGCCTGCATGCCTAGAGCCCGTGCTCCACGACAAGAGAAGCCACAGCAATGAGAAGCCCGTGCACCACGACAAAGAGTAGCCCCCACTCACTGCAACTAGAGGAAGCCCGTGTGCAACAACAAAGACCCAATGCAGTCAAAAATAAATAAATAAATACATAAATTAAAAAAGAACAGCTTTTCAGCATCCTCGTCCCAATCGTCCTCCAAAAACACATCAGAGAAGGTGCTCCGTCAGGTGCCTTCTTGGCTGAGCCGAGGCTCTGGTTCGTACAGACCAAGCTAGGTCTGGGAATCCACATGCATAAGAGAAGTTAAAGAGAAACTTGACCTGTACCAGAGGGAAAGGGAAGACCAATGCCCTAAACTTCCTGAGAGCTAAAGGGCGGGGATTCCTTATGGCAGGGACTCCCTGTCCCAACCCAGCAGCCCATCCCTCCTGGGCAGGGTACCCTCCTTTCTTACCCTAGAATTCCTGGGCATGGTCCCCTGGACTTGCCACAGTCCATGTCCAAATTCCTCTTCCAGCCTTGCCTTGAAATTAGCTAAGCTTCAAATGGTGATCCATTAAAATGTCATTAACCAAAAGCACCAATTAGCGCTTAGTAAACGTTTGTTTTATAATATATGAATACAGCCCCCAGAAGGGACTCCAGTGGAGGGGTTACAGGCCCTGGAGAAGGCTGCATGTTGGGGTGCTGGGCTTTTCGTGTCTTTCAAGCAGCATATAGGCACTCACTTGTCTTGTGAATGGGGTCAGCGCTGGCACTCAGACCTCTGTGATGGTGGAAGAGAAAAGGCAAGCATCCATTAGGGAATGGAGAGAGATTTCAGAGTTTGAAAATATATTCATCTTCCTCCCCTCTCCCCTCTCTGCACTCCCAGGCAACCACTGCTTTTGGTTCAAGGCCTTATTATTTCTTTCCTGGATTATTGCTAAAACTGGTAACTAGTTTCCCTGTCTGCATAGTCACACTGTCATCTGGTCTTACAGCTGTCTAAAGTGGCAACCTGCCTCTTCCCTTGCCCCTGGGCCCTTGTAAGGTTCTCCACTGTCTTGAAATAGAACTCAAACCACACGGTGTCCAGCTTCTTTCTGAACTCACTCTTGACTGACCTTCAGCCTCATCTCTCACCATCTCTCCTTATCCCTTATATTCCAGCCACAGCTAGCTATTTACTTGAACTCGTCTCAAGCCTTCCTCCTCTGCAAATGCTTTTCCTCAGACTTTATGCCTCCTTTCCTTCCAACACACACACACACACACACACACGCGCATGCGCCCCTTTCACGTGGTTGATTCCCACTCAACTTTAAAGACTTGGTCCTCAGAATGCCTTGCCTATGCTGGATTTAGTTTCTTTTCTAGATAGTTCCTCCTGTAGCACAGAGGACCCACCTCTATCGTGGCGCTTATTACCCAGTCCATCCTCTGGCCCCTCTCACCTTCCCTAAGCGTTAATTGTAAAGTATTTGGACTCTGAGTAGCTCAGTCCCTGAGGAGATGACCAGAATACAGCTCATGTGTGGTGAAAGGATATGAGCTTTAGAAGTAAGCAGACCCGGGTTCAAACTTCCGCTTTTTTGCTGTGTAATCTTTAGCAATTTACTTAACCTCGCTTAGATTCCTTGTCTGTAAAATCAGAATAGTAATACCTACCTTATGGAATTGTTGTGAGGATTAAATGAGACAATTCACATAAAAAATGTCCACTCCTCCATTCTCACTTACCATGTGCTTTTTCCTGGTCCTGAACCTCCCAGCTAGTGAGACAGCTATTGAAGGCTCTCAGGCTTTTTATTCCTCTCTGAGCATCTGCATCTATAAACTGCTGTTAATAACATTTACCTCACAGGGTTTTATGGAGATGAGATGATTCAAGGTATGCGAAACCAGTTTATTGAATGAAAATGATGTGGTAGGGCTCAAGCAGGAAACACTTCTATTCTTTATCATACCTTCACCTTTAACATCAACATAGGCATTCATTTTTGTGGTTCTGGATGAGAGGTTCTAAACAGTTTCCTGTTCGCCTTCAAGTAGTAAATAGTCCTGATCACTTTCATGAGTGGGAAAATGGAAGACAATAATTGGTTAATATTTAAATTAATACATTCATATTACTGTAAGGCAGAAATACTTGTAACTACTACAGTCTTCATTTCTATAACTGGTCATGTAGTCAAAGTTGTTTTTTTTAAATATTTATTTATTTATGGCTGCGTTGGGTCTTCATTGCTGTGCACGGGCTTTCTCCAGTTGTGGCGATCGGTGGCTACTCTTCATTGCAGTGCGCAGGTTTCTCATTGCAGTGGCTTCTCTTGTTGCGGAGCACGGGCTTTAGGTGCGCGAGCTTCAGTAGTTGTGACATGTGGGCTCAGTAGTTGTGGCTCGCGGGCTCTAGAGAGCAGGCTCAGTAGTTGTGGCACACGGGCTTAGTTGCTCCGCGGCATGTGGGATCTTCCTGGATTGGGGCTTGAACCTGTGTCCTCCGCATTAGCAGGCATATTCTTAACCACTGCGCCACCAGGGAAGGCCCAAAGTTAGTATTTTTAACTTCCTTCTCTGCTATTCATTCCATATTCCCTTTGCTTTCAGCAAATACCTCACCTAGTACAGTCACTGAAAAGTATATATATTAACATATTTTACTTATATATAACTAACCTAGGCAGACAAATTATTTTCTAAACCAGCAGAGCCCAAAGTTGTGGGTCTGGGAAGCAAAAATTCCCCTAGTGGATCACTAGGAGTTACAATTGAGGAGCCATTTCCATTTCAACCCGTTGATTTTCAGATTCATGAATCCTGGCTATGGGAGGACTACAGTACTACACATATTGGTCACTGATTCAGGACATATACAGCATCCTAGGGACATTACCCAAGCCCTGCCCAGTGCCGGTGCTCAGCTAGTGTTGTAACTGAATTTCAAAAAAAATCATTCTACCATTTTTTCATGCCACTTAATTCAAGGTGATCAGGCATATTATAAGATCGGTGAATTCTATGTTCATGAGCACATTACTTCATTTGCTGTTAAATGAGTTCCTTGGTGAGAAGCTATGTTTGGTGGAATACTGTGAGAATGAATAAGATATTCTAGAAGTCCATAGATAGTAGTTTTGGCAGAAGCATGTGAGCAGGGAAGGATAATTCATGTCCAGAGTAAGTATTTACTAGTGAGGAGAAGCTTTGCCCATTCCATGATGGCCTGTGGCTGGCTGTTCACCCTGGGAAGTGGTGCCGCACTTACGGTTCAGTGTTGGTCTCTGATAATGGGGGGCTGGGCGCTCAGCAGTGGCTGTAACCATATCAGATTTGATGAATGGAAGCTCATGTTGCTGAGCCATGCATAACTTCTATTCTTGCCACCATGTACACTTTGTTTTTTGAGACAAACTTGGTGATCAATATTTATTTAATACAACAGGATAAAAATAACTATGACAGGGAATGCCCTGGTGGTCCAGTGGTTAGGACTTGGCGCTTTCACTGCTGTGGCCCTGGTTCAATCCCTGGTTGGGAAACAGATCCAGCAAGTCATGCAGCTCAGTCAGAAAAAAACATAAAACAAAAAAAACTAAGACATTGAAAATTTCTAATTTTAAAATCTTAGACTGTGTACACTTTGATCACCAGCCATTGGGCCAAGACAGGGATGACTGGAGGAAATGGTTGGTTAAAGAATGTGGCATCTTGGTGTCCTGACTCTTAAGATCCTCTTCTTAGGAGGTTGCCCTTTGGTGAACATTCACGTGGGACATGAGTATCTTCACACTTTGTGTCAGTTTAGAGTGGTTCATCCACATACCTCTTCCGCAGACTTTCTTATCACCAATTTTCCAAACACATTCACTCCGATACCCAGAACATCAAGTCAAATTTTTAGCCACAGCACACACACGCGCACACACACACACACACACACACACACACTTTTTTTTTAAATTTAATTTTATTTTTTTTCACACGCTTTTTTTTAGTGTATGTCTATACCTCTGGCCATCTCTCCTTCCAGGCAAAATAAGCAACCATGTGTACTGCTCAAAGGTTTACGCACTGGAAGATTTTCCTTTACAATTATTCTTTAGGGCACGGGTCCCCAACCCCTGGGGCCACACAACAGGAGGTGAGCGGTGGGCGAGCAAAGCTTCATCTGTCGCTCCCCATCACTCGCATTACGGCCTGAGCCATCCCCCATCCCCCACTGTCCGTGGAAAAATTGTTTTCCACGAAACGGTCCCTGGTGCCAGAAAGGTTGGGGACCGCTACTTTAGGGTCCTCTCTGAGTGGGGCAGCAGTGCTGCAACTTTCCACCTTCTGGTAGAAATAATTCAAATCCTGCAGAACAAACGCATACCATGCAGAACCAGCAGTCAAGCAGGTCAGACTTTTTTCATTCCTCAGTCAGCTGGTCATAGAGAACTTCTCATGAGGCCAGAGGTGTGAGAAAGAGGAGGCAGTTTTGCAGGAATAGAGGCCATGGGAACCTGAGGCACTTGTTCCTGCAACTTGCTTTTGCCTTTAGGTCTTGCTCAAGTCCAATCACGTATGAAGTCCACTTCCACCTGATAACAGAATACTGCTGTGAATGCCCATCTTTATGCCTTTATAGCCAAATAACACCCTGTTTATGATGGGCAGCTCAGGTCACCCGGTAACTTGGTGATTCACAGTCAAACATCCAGTATGTAGTAGAGCCCAATAAAATTGGAAGCTATCTGTCAAAAGGAAAATAGTTAACTGAGGAGAACGGCATAGTTTGATCCAAAATCCTAAGGGTTTGCTCTGTGATTCACCTTCAGAGGCTGCCAAAAGCTCCATACAGTGCAGACACTGTGAGAGTTCACATGGCCTGTGGGGCAGATAAGTTTTCATGACAGCCCATACCTATTGTAGAGCCTTCTCTTGTTCTGGGTCCTACTCAAAACTTGCAGACATTTGACTTTTCTGATAAATGAGAGCAGCATGTTCAAATGAAGTTTAGGATATTTTCAAATTTCAAGAGGATTGCTAAGCATTTAAGCTCTTTTTTTCTGGTAGGAGAAGCCAGAGACAGCAAGTTGTCTTTCACTGTAGAAGGGGTATTTTGACATAGCCTCAGATCACTGGGTCCCTAGAAAATTTGCCAGGGTGGCAAGTTCCTAAATTTCTGTGGGATTTATTTCTCACCATCTGGCATGCGTGTGTCTTGCCACAGGGTCTAGAGTACTAGCAACCTTCTACTCACCAGATCCATCTAGCATGATAGCATCCGTGTAGTTGATAAAGCCTTGAGGAGGGAGAGTAAAAGTGTATTGCTGGCCCTGCCAGTTGAAAGTAAACTGCTTTGGGTGATCTTTATTAACAGGTGTTGGGGAGGAAGGAATTTTCCTCTACCCTTCTGGCTTCTTCTGGCTCATCTAAGAATTAAATTGACATGACACAGATTAACAGGAGAAAATCACACAAAAGTTTAATAACATGTATACATGGGAGAGACTCAGGAAAGCCGAGTAACTCACCAAAATGGCTGAAACCCTCACCTTAAATACCATCTTCAGCTAAAGACAAAAGAGGGTGTTGGGGATAATGATTTGGAACTTCAAAGGGGAGGAAGGAGATGGAAAAGCAAGTGTTTGGTAAACAAAAGTTTGCTGCACTATGCAGAGAATATGGGACACAGAGTGGACTCTGATCTCTAAGAGTTTCCTCCACCATACCTAGCCCATGTTCTTTGCAGACACATCTCAGTGATAGCTCTATTCCTATGACAGGCCCTCTATATAAATTGTTCAGGCAGTTAGGGGTAAGGTCAAAGATTCTTCCTGAGTTTTTTGGGCATAGATTGTTTTTAGCTGGAAATAATCCACATGCCAAAGAGATATTTTAGGGTGCAAATTTTGTTCCCCTAGGCAGGTATAAAGAAAAAATATTTGCCAGATCAACAGCTGCCTACCAGGTGCCAAGGGATGTCTTCTCCAGTAAAGAAAACATGTCTGGAACAGAAGCTGAAAATGGAGTCTACCTGGTTATGATAGCTCACTGTCATTGTCCAAGATCTGTCTGTTTTCTGCAAAGAACAAATAGGCAAGTTGAAAGAGGAATCACCACTACTACATCCTTCAAGTTCTGAAGGTGATAATAATCTTTGCAATCCCTCCAGGAATGAAATTGCCTTGAGCTTACCATTTCGGTAGGCCATTCTACAGGTTTCCACCTGACATTGCCCACCATCATAGCCCTCATTGCGTGTGCTGGTGAACCAGCATGGGGTAAGTGGGAGTGGCTCTTCTCATTCCTAACTCTAATGATTCACTAGCCAAATGTTATTTCCTGTTCCTAAAACTTTGGGCATGGCTGGTTTAAGGGTGTTAGTGTATGTCTCCACCAGGGGACACAACAATGATTCTACTAAAATGAAAGTAGAGACTACCACCTGACTACTTTGAGTTTGGGTTTCAAAAATCTCAACCCTGCAGCTATAGGAAGTAGGGTTTCTTTTCAGGTAATCGTAGAACTATCCTACTCCTTTACTCCTTACTTCAGCTAGGAATTTAAAAACCTGAGCTCATAATTTTCTTTCAAAGTTCTTGCGTGCACTTAGAAGAAACCAACTAACCCCGTTATACTCTTTATTTCCATTAAATTGTTCAGTGGCAGCAAATACTTGGTTACCCAAAGCCTTGTCTCCTATAGGTATTTGATTACAGTTGTCTGCAGGTGATAATTAATGTATCTGTCTTGCCACTGCAAGGCTGTAGGCCACGGTCTACCAGTGTCACTTTTACCATTAGCAACAGGGTCATTAATGCCTTTAAACAGATCAATTTCAAGAGTCCTATCCTTAAAGTTCTGTTTCCTCTGGAACAATTTCCAGTACCTATAATGGTATCTGATACTGATTTGATATTGATACTAATGATATTAGAAAGGGTTCAGTCAGGGAAGGAGAGACACTAAGAATATTATGAAACAAGGGATTTATTTTAGGAACAAGGCTTACACATTTTTGGAATAACTGGGGAAATCAGAGTCTGAATGGAGAAGTTGGAGGATCAAAGAATAGTCACTCATCAACCCTTCTGAAGTCAGGCATGCCCAGTTGTTAGAGCAGGATCCTAGAGAGTTAGTGGAGAAGTTTACATGGAAGCCTGTTGCCTCTGCATCTGGTGGTTGGCCTGGGGTTGCTCTTGGTCAGAAGGCCTGGGGGTTGCTAAGAAAGCTTGTTGTGGAACGAGAGAGAATGGGTACAGCCTGGAACCTGGTGCCACTTCTAACCAGGACAACCTTCAGAAAGTAATTACTACCACTGCACTTATCTCTTCTAAATCATTCACAAATTAATCTTTTGGCCAACTGTGATCAGAAACCATCAGGGAAGAGGATTCTGGAAAATGGAGTTCCAGCTTACCCAAGTCAACACAGTATAAAACCACCACCTGCCATTTATTAGCTGCTTGATCCTGAGCAAATTATTTAATGTCTATGAGTCTAAATCTCTTTCAATCTCAGGTTTGGACGTTGTCATCTAGGACTTTTTTCTGGGTTTTTGGAAGATGCCCTGCTGCCCCCACTTACCGGTACCTCCTCTCTCTGGCCACTTGTGATTCCCTCTCAGCCTCATGGCTTCTGGTAGTCTTTCCCTATGTGGGGCACCTCTCCATTCCAGGCAGCCCTCTTGGGCAGTCCACATCTGGCCCTTGGAAAACATACAAACACCCACGCTCTGCTAAGCTCTGGAGGTACGGCTCACACCCAAGACAGTTTTTTAGACTCACTATCCAGGCCCACAAGCCAGCCACAATCACTGCTAGATTATTTTCAGTCCAGAGTCCCTCTGTCCCTCATACTCCAATAGCTCTTGGAGTTCTTTTCTGCAATTCCCCTCTTAAGTGGGTGAAAGACAGAATCGACACCTAAACCTTCCCCTTGGCTGGGGGAGGAAGGAAGTGACAACTCACTCCAGACAGACCTTCAATATCACCTGCCTTTCAGCCTCAGCTCTTAGCCCTCTGTTATACAGTCTGGAGGGGAGTAAAGGCCTATGGACCATCCGTTTTACAAATCTGAGATATAATCTAGCATCTTATTTATTTATTTTTCACTGCATTGGGTTTTTGTTGCTGTGTGTGGGCTTTCTCTAGTTGTGGCGAGCAGGGGCTACTCTTTGCTGCAGTGCGTGGGCTTCTCATTGCGGTGGCTTCTCTTGTTGCACAGCACGGGCTCTAGGCACGTGGGCTTCAGTAGTTGTGGTGCACAGGCTCAGTCGTTGTGGTTCGCGGGCTCTAGAGCGCAGGCTCAGTAGTTGTGGCGCACGGGCTTAGCTGCCCCGCAGCATGTGGGATCTTCCCAGACCAGGGCTTGAACCCGTGTCCCCTGCATTGGCAGGCGGATTCTTAACCACTGCACCACCAGGAAAGTCTCTAGTCTAGCATCTTCATTTAGAATGTGGTAGCTGATCCCTATTATTCTTTTCCTCACCTTTGAGACCTCTGTCCAAATTTTGAGATGGGAAGAGTCCCATTTAATATACTGTTACCTATATAAAGAGCCTAATGTGCTTGACACAAGGTAGACATTCACTAGTAGAAGCGATTGTGTACTGCCAATCACCCAGCATGGAAGTCAACCCAGCCTTTGAAAATGGTTGGAATCCTATCCGTCTAAGCCAGACTAAAGGGGAGTGTGTACCCTTATGTAAGGCTTGAAAGGCAGTTGCCTGTTCTTCCTTATGCCCAGTCTATATGTCTATTCCAAATACAGTGTTTATAGCTATCTGAGTCCAGTAGCTTCTGGACCCAGACCCACCCTCAGTGACACATCACAAGACCAAGGAAATCAAGAACCAGCTTAGCTGCTCCCCTACTCTGAAGTCCCATCTCAGCCACAGCAGGTGGAGTGGAAACGCGCTGGGCTTTGTGCAGTCAGCATGCCCTGGTCTGACGTACAGGTTGGCATTTGCCTTGATTAGTCAGTCTCTGTGGTGAGCTAGTTTTTATCTATTTTGAATATCAGCCTTGCTTTTGAGCATGGAGTTGCTCAAATCCACAGATGCACAGAAACACCAGCAGCATACATGCGTACACAATTACATCTTTACACATGGGTGCACTTGCAGTTACTTCCCCGAGGTTTAAAAGTAGAAGTTACATGACCTGGGCTTCCCTGGTGGCACAGTGGTTGAGAGTCCGCCTGCCGATGCAGGGGACGCGGGTTTGTGCCTTGGTCCGGGAGGATCCCACATGCCGCGGAGCGGCTGGGCCCGTGAGCCATGGCCGCTGAGCCTGCGCGTCCGGAGCCTGTGCTCCGCAACGGGAGAGGCCACAGCAGTGAGAGGCCCGCGTACCGCAAAAAAAAAAAAAAGAAGTTACATGACCTTGGGAAATGTGAACTGAGCTGATCTGGGGTGTGACAACATATCAGGGAAGCTTCCATTTGCTTCAAGTCTTTTTCTTGGCCTCTGTCTTAGTCGTTGTTTCTTCGTTTCTTTGGTTGTTAGAGCTCACAAGTGGCACTGGAAGGGATTAAAGGGGACACAAGCACAGACTCAAAAAAAAAAAGACCTAGAAATTCAACATACAGTCATCATTTTCCAAATTGTCAGCGTGTATTGAGAAAGATTTGATAAAAACGCCAGGGCAGAGGTTGGCAATAGTTTTCTACAAGGGGTCCAACAGTAAATATTTTAAGCCTTGTAGGCCGTACGGTTTCTCTGCAATGACTTAGCTCTGCTATCTCATAGTAGGAAAGTAGTCACAGACAATAATAAACAAATAAGCATGGTTACATTCCAATACAACTTTATTTACAAAGACAGGTGGTGGACCAAATTTGGCCCATGGGCCTTGGTTTGCAGCCCCCTGCATTAGGCTCCAAAGAATCCTGAAACCATCAAAACTGCTGCACAGGTCTCCCAAAGATTGACAGAAGCTCCATTCTGTCTCCTCCAAAAAGGACAAAAATCAAGGTTTATTCTAATTATTTTGTGTGGTGCTTTGGTGTTTTGATGTTCTTCTGAGTGATCTCAATTCCCCCTTTTGTCCCTTCTCCCCTCTTTCTGTGTATATATCTCTAAAAGCTTCCCATTCTTCTTTATTCTGTCCTTTGGAACTCACAGGGTTGGGTGATTTTAGAGTGAGGCTCTTTCACGTTCATCCTTGCTGAAATTCTGGCTTCTTTTCAGGGCTCTCATCTATACTAGAGTAAGAGGCAATGTGCAGTAGCATAAAGAGCACTTGTCTGGATCACTGGGCAGCACATGCCACCAGCTTGCTGTGTGACTTTGAGCAAATTACCTAACCTCTCTGAGCCTTCCTTTTCTCATCTGTCAAATGAGGGAATTGGCTAAGGTCTCTTAAATCCCTTCTAGCTCTAAGCTTGTGATTTTAGGAAGCTGCGGCTTCAACTCTAGCCAACTGTCTGGAGCCATTAATTAGGATGTCACTCACAGACCTTAATGAAACTGCCAGGAGGCCACAGAAAGTAGCCACATGATCTTCTGTAGTTGGCAACCTTCCGAAGCTGGGTGGGTAGGGTTACCAGCTAACCTCAGGAAATCTGAGAGCCCATCCCACTAAGGGAAGAAAAGGAACACAAATAATCCAGGACCCCTATGCTCCAGGAAAATTAATTTGCATTCCTATACTGCCATTGAAGCAGCTACAAAATGTGTACAAATGTTGACTTAGTTGGAAGCAGGACCTGAGGGAACTTCTGTTGGGAGGTGAGAAGCTTTCCCTTCTCCATCAGATCCTCTGTGTGGGGCTCTCCTGGCCATATAAAGAATACCCCTCAAAGCCCACCAAATAAATATATGATTAGGTCAGGAGGAAATGGAGGGTTTGAGGGGTTAAAAAAATGAATGAGCAAATTCCAGCATGTGCCAAAGGAAGGAGGTCTTCTCTGAATCAGGGATGAGGGAAGTCAGTGAGGATCAAGGAGCCTGGCTGGGGCAGGGGCGGGCGGTGGTTGGCAGCTTGGGGGGAGTTTGTACAGCACCATCCCCCAGCTCACAGCCCACTGGCTATGGGTGCAGCAGATGCACAGGCGGCTGGAGCCCTCTCCCTCCCTCCTGGACACAGTCCTGAGGGATGGGGAGGGAGTAGAGAAGCCTGCATCCTGGCTTCGAGGAGAGCAGGTTCTTATTGTCCGACTCTGCTAAAGCTGTCTCATTTGTAGCCTAAATAATTCACTCACCAGTCTCTCAAGGAACTTAGAAGAAAAACAAAACCCGACCCACCCCTCACGCTCAGGTTCCCACTGCACCACAGGCAGGCCGGGAGGCAGACCCAAGCTGCAGAGATGGCCTGCCTTCAAAGGTTTATTGGGGTTGGCAACCTTCCAGAAATTGCCTGGGGCCTGGTTTTGTACAGCCCTTGAGCTAAGAATGGTTTTTACATTTTAAAAGGTTTTTTAAAACAACATGAAACAAAATAAACAACAACAAAAACAAAGAATATGCCAGAGACTGTATGTGGCCTGCAAATATTTACTATCCTTTCCAGAAGAGTGCCAATCCCTTAATCCACTCCCCAACCTTGAAGGAGGTGATGACAACCTTTGACCTACTCCTTGACTACCTCACCCTGCGACCCCACTATATGCAGAGATTCGAAGTTGTCAGAGTTCTGACACCTACAGCCTAGTGGGAGGCCAGCATCATTGTTCACCCCATTTCCAAAACCAACAAAAAGGCAAACAAGAAGATAAATGTATATGTATAACTGATTCACTTTGTTATAAAGCAGAAACTAACACACCATTGTAAAGCAATTATACTCCAATAAAGATGTAAAAAAAAAAAAAGAACATCTCAAAAAAAAAAAAGATAAACCCTGGAGTGGGGTCAACGGTCTTGATTCTACTGCATGGGGAGGGAGGGAGAGAAGCAGGGAGGGACTGAGACTCTCAGCCTCAACCCGTCATGTGATCTATCTTCTCTGAGGGTCAGAATTCAGCATTGTCCCAGTTGGTCTCTACTGACGCCCCTCCCCTCAAGGCCCCATCACACCCTGCAGTCCTGGCGATCCCAGCTGATCCTACCTGATCCCAGCTGATGCCAGCAGTCACTGAGGCTGTAATTCTCTTATTGACGAGACATCCAAGTAATTCGCGTCTCTGAGTCCCTGAGGCCTGTGTGTCATCCGCAGACCACCTAGGGTGCAGCCTGACTGGCTGACCTTCAGTCCTGGACAGAGGCTCCATCCAGTGCAGGGGCTCCCCTGCTTCCTAGCAGGGCCTTTGAAGGAAGAGGACTCTGACTAGCCCTGGACGCCACCCAGACCCTCTGTTGGAGCCAGAGCCACTGAGAGGCACAGCCTAAGGACTCTGGAAAAGACGGGTTAGAGTGGACAAGGCTTCCAGCTCAGAGTGCCCAGCTGTAACTGGGCTGAGTGACCTCTGGGCTGTCATGGGTTCTGTTTGGAAGTTTTGGGGCTGAGGGCAGAGTGGAGACCCAGTGGCCCTGCATCCTGGTGGGTAGGTATTCTGGATTATTTCAGATAGGAGTGAACTTTGTAAAAGTTCTTGCTCAAAATCATTGAGCTGTCCAGCCAGTTCTTTGCAGGTTCCTGTTCTTGAGATAAAATCAGCATGGAAAGCCCAGGCTGGAATCCCAACATCCAGGCTAAGTGAAAGGTCAGCCGTCTTAGAGATTTGGGAGCCCAAGCTGTGACACCTTGGGCAAGTCACCTCATTTCTCTGGGATTCAGTTTCCTCATCTGTTAAAAGAAGCAAACAAACAAAAATCTGGGGTGCTTGGGTGGGGGTGATCTTACAGTCCTGTCCAGCCCATACCCAGTGTGTCCGAAGCAGGCAAGGCCTCTGCAGAAGCTTTTCTGTAAAGTTGTTTGGCTTCATCTCTGCTTTCCTTCCCCAAGTCAATTCAGCCCCATCCAAATGAGATACAGCCGGTCTGGCATCAGGGGAGAGTGTTTTCCTTCAGCAGGTCAGCAGCTTGCCGGGGATTTGGACCGTTGTGAGGTCCCACCGAAGTAGTGGGTGGTGAATATGACCTATGTCTTTGTGCCCTGTGGCCAGAGGGTGGCTGAAGGGCTGTGGGAGTCTCCTCAACTGAAGTGGGGTGAACGGTCCCCAACATGCTCACAGCATATGGGCCAGAAACCAGTCTGATACCACACACTTTAATCTAAGTTACCTTGATTGCCTTTTGTCAGCTCTTCAACTTGACTGAACGTTCCTTAAGGGTAGGGATTCTATCTTGACCTTCTTCTGTGTCCCCCAGGGAGAACCCAGCACCACAGGTATGTGGCTGGAGATTGGCCTGGAGATATGAGGATGTATCGCTGAGAAGCTTAACTGCAATACCTCTGGAAAGAGTGCTGCTGCACTTTGCACAGGGTGTGGGTCCGGGGAAGTGAATCTCCACATTTGCCAGCTGATAACTGGACACCGTTCTCCAGTGGGTGGCTCGATCAAGCTGTCAGGTCATGACCCCCAAGAGCTATCGTGTGACCTAGAGAGCAAGTGATGCGGGAAGGTTAGAGAAGGGAATGCCTGTCCCGTGCCAGTGTGCCCGAGATTCCCCAGGATATGCAGGTCACTTTCCCCTAAAGCAGTCCAGACTGGGAAAGTGTGGCTGGGTGGCCCATGCAAACCTAAATCAGCCTTGCATCACCGCTGGTTGCTTCAGAGTAGCTACCAAATTGCAAGCACAGTGATCTACAGCCTACAAATCCAGACCCATACAATAGTGACAAATGTCAGAAGCTCTGGGGTGGGTCTCTTCTAGTCTTAAATATACTCAGAATGGCTGTGTCCCTTGCCTGCCTGCAGATAGGAAGCTCTCCTTTAGATCCAGCCACACTTTTTCTTGCTGTAGCTCCTGTTCTGTGCCCTATGAAAATGTTCCCTTTAGAAGTCCGGAGCCCGCCTTTCCTTCTGTATTGTTTTCTTTGCTTGCTTGTTTGCTGGGTGTGATGGTGGGGAGGGAAGGCAGGAGGCAGAGTTCTGACTTGCCCCACAGTGTCACCCATCTGTACAAACGGCCATGACAGAGCAATACAACGGATTAACCGTGACACACATGGAACTGCTAACGAGTTCGATAAAATTTTGATTATCCCTTGTTCTGTGGGGCAGGCAGCAAACCATGGAAATAATAATCCTCTCGGCTGGTGTCAGCACAGCAGTTCAACCAGAGAAAGGCAGGTGTGAGCTACAGGGAGTGAATCGTGGGAATGTGGGGGTGGGCCTGCAGCAGGGGTGGGAGGGCAGAATGGTAATTGCAGAGATTCCCCTCTCAATTATCTAGATAATTCCCTCAATTCTCTACTTTGTTCTATGGACCTGACATGTTCTGGAAGGCAAACTCATTCTTGGCAGAGAAGGAAACTAAGGCCTCAGGAACATCAGGAATATGCCCAGAAGGACACCTTGGATTTCAGTCCCCAGAGTCTAGACAAACCCAGGGGAGACTGTCCAGGGATGAGCCCACATGGCTTGCAGATCTCAGCCTGGGAAACCGGCATCCTAGACCCTAGGGTTCCTGTGTTCCCTTTTCCGTCCCCAGCGAAGGGGGAAGAGTAGGGCTGCGATGAAGTGTCTCTCCCTGGATACCTTGGTGGTTTTGACTTTGTGTCCGGTGCTGCAGCTCCATCCCGACAGGTCCGGGAGCACTTTACACTCCTCGCCCAGCAGGCAGGGCTCCATCTGACACCACCACTTCTGCAGGACGATGGAGGCTGTGGGAGCAGGAAGCAGTGAGGGCAGCTCTAAGTTCTCTGCAAGTACAGCATGCAGTTGTGGGCGTGGGAGTGGTTCGTGCAGAATAAGGGCATGTTTCTACACACCCTGGCTTAGAGCCCTGCATTTCCCTTGTCTTTTTCCTACTCCAGGCTGCCCGGAAGGGCAGTACTCAGGCTGAGGCCTTGGGACACAACCATACCAACCTCAACCCCACTGACCCCTACATCTCACCAAAGACAGAGAGGGGTGAAGGCAGGGGAAGTTATCTCTAAGGCAACCCTTGAGTTGAGCCATCACATCATTAGCAGAGAGGCACAGTCTCCAACATACCCCTTGGTGTACGTAAGCAAGCGTGCAGGCCATTTGAGGGAGTGTGCACAAGCAGGTGTGTGCGTGTGAGCACAAGTGGGCATGTTTATGGTGCTGCCATGTGAGAGTAAGAAAATAAGCATGGGTGGGGCCGTGGGAAAGGGGTGGATACGAAGGAATTCATGGCCAAGCGATACACGTGTGTCCATGTGAGGGGAGGGTAAAGGCCGGCTTGAGAACGAGAGGAGGGGATGTGTAAGAGGCCTGGGAAGGAGCCGCAGGTGAAGAAGTCAACGTCTGGAGGAGTGGGTGTGAGGTGATGAGGCTGACGGGAGGCCTGAGAAGATCGTGTGAGGAAATGAATCCGCGTATGTGCCAGGCAGTAGGTGTGGCTAGGAGGGAGGGCATGTGCTTATGACAGAGCTTTCCTCATCTATGGGATGGCGATGGTCACACCTGTGCCCCTCCTCCCAGAGGTGGCCCCATCATTTGAGACTCCGACAGTGAAAGCCCTGAGCTGGGCATGAAATTGTATCCCCAGCAGATGGCGAAGCCTGGACAGCCCTTCTTATCTCTCTGACCAAGCCCTCCCTGCCGGGTCCCAGCCTCTCACTCACCGTCCACGCAGGAGGGCTTTGCCCGGGTGGTGCCGGCCACCTGGCCAGAGAAGCAAGAGCATTTGACAGTCTGGGAGCGCTCCTCGATGCGGTTCCGGTTACAGCAGCGGTGAGCAGCAATCACCTCGCAGGTGCCCTGCTTCACGGGGACTGAAAGGGCCAGCACACCATCAGATGCCCGGCCCAGGCCAGCACCCCTGCCCCCCCCCCCCCCCCCCCAGTTGTCCTCCAGCCCCCCCTCCCAGCTCAGGGCAGGGGTAGGTAAGAGATTTCCAGTTGCAGGGCAGGAGGAAACGGATGACATCTTCCTGCCACATCTGTGTTCCTATCCTTCCTTCCTCCCCATTTAGGCCACACTCATCACCCTGGCAGAGTCTGGCCCCTGGGCAGGAGAAAGATGGAGTCCACACCATCCCCCATCTCCTGGCTTCCCCTGGGTGAGGCCAAGGGCCCCGAGGGCTTACAATGCGTGGCGAGGATCATCCGCTTACACCGGCTTTAGCCATCCCAGAAGGAAAACCACAGAATTAGGCCAGGAGGCTAGACTTAAGCCCTGACCCGGGGGCTCCTCTCCCTGCAGAACACCTTCCGGCATGGAAGGGAAGGTGAGAATGGGTCTGCCCTCGCATCTGTGGGTTTTACTCTGCCTCAGAGATCTGCCTGCTGTGGAACGGGGTGCAGTGGTGTCCAGCTTTCCAGGCATCCTGGAAAACCGCCCGCCCCAGGGCCCCACCACCTCCCCTAGACCTGTTGGAGTTGGAGGCTGCAAGGAAGCCAAGGCCAGGTGGGTCCACAGCCAGACCAGGCCAAGTGCCAGCAGCCAGCCGCCCGTGCTCCAGTTCTGTGTGGCCCTCTCACGCATCCTGCAGAGAGAAGCACACACCCTGCTTGACTCCAGGCAGGAGCCCTCCCAGTGCCCAGTGCCAGCACCACTGTGCCACGTGCTCTGGGGGGCACAGAGGCGGGCAGGGTGCACGACTTGTCCCCAGGCAGCTCTCAGCCTGGCACAGACTCACTGTAGAAAGTGGTGAGTACTACAGTCAGAAAGGGGAGCAGGAAGGGAGACTGTTCTGCTGGGAAAAACATGGAAAGCTTTGTGGAGGAGATGACATTTAGGAGGGGTCTTAAAGAATGGACTGGGCATGGTCCCATGGAGGGCTGTGACATGGAAGGAGCAATAATGCTGACTGCCATGTTTTGAGCACTCGACCCTGCAAACATACTCTTGAATCCTTCACGACTGTCCTACAAAGTAGGATTATTTTTACCCATTTTACAAATGAGCAAACTGATACTCAAAAAGCCTGGACACAACCTAAACAACCATCAGTAAAGGGCTGGCTAAATACGCTGTGGGCCATCTGTGCAATGCCCATCCAGACAGCTGTAACAGAATGAGGAAATGCTTTAGGTACTGAGGCATGCAATGATCTCCAACGATAATCCGTCATTTAGGGGAAAAAAGCAAAGTGCCTGGTGATGTGCATTCGATGTGTAAAAGGGAGGAATTATATATGTTGCTCAAATATGGGTTAAGCTAGCTCTGGAAAATGTACCAAAAGACCCTAATAGCATTGTTTGCCACCAAGAAGGGAAACTGGTTGGCTGGGAGTGGGAAACTGGTTGGCTGGGATACAGAGGTAGAACGGAGATATTTTTCTCCCTACTGCTTTTTTTTTTTTTTTTTAAGATTTTTTTTTGATGTGGACCATTTTTTTTAACATCTTTATTGGAGTATAACTGCCTTACAATGTTGTGTTAGTTGCTGCTGTATAACAAAGTGAATCAGCTATAGGTATACATATATCCCCATAACCCCTCCCTCTTGTGTCTCCCTCCCACCCTCCCTAACCCACCCCTCTAGGGGGACACAAAGCACTGAGCTGATCTCCCTGTGCTATGCAGCTGCTTCCCACTAGCTATCTATTTTACATTTGGTAGTGTATATATGTCGATGCTACTCTCTCACTTCGTCCCAGCTTACCCTTCCCCCTCCCCGTGTCCTCAAGTCCATTCTCTACGTCTGTGTCTTTATTCCTGTCCTGCCCCTAGGTTCTTCAGAACCTTTTTTTTTTTTTTTTTTTAGATTCCATATATATGTATTAGCATATGGTATTTGTTTTTCTCTCTCTGACTTACTTCACCCTGTATGACAGTCTCTAGGTCCATCCACCTCACTGCAAATAACTCAATTTTGTTTCTTTTTATGGCTGAGTAATATTTGATGTGGACCATTTTTAAAGTCTTTATTGAATTTGTTACAATATTGCTTCTATTTTATGTTTTGGCTGTTTGGCTGCGAGGCATGTGGGATCTTAGCTCCCCAAGCAGGGATCGAACCCGCACCCCCTGCATTAGAAGGCAAAGTCTTAACCACTGGACTGCCAGGGAAATCTCTCTCCCTATTGCTCTTTAATCTTTTGGGATTTGAACCACGGGAAGGTACTAGCAATTCAGCTTAAACAAAATTTAAATATAAAAAGGAAGAAATGAAGTGGAGGCTAATAGAAGTCAAGTGACTTGCCCAAGGCCAGGCAGTGGGTAGAAGACCCTGAGCGCAGAAACCTGCCCTGTTCTCACTGGACCACCTTGCTTCTGCTCTCTTCCCCTTTCCTTCTCCTCCTTCATCCTTGATGGTTCGAACCTCCCAAATCTATCCCAGAGAGTGGACTAGAAATGGAGGGAACCCCAGTAAAGCAGAGGCACAGAGCAGCCGGGAGCCACCCAAGCACAGAAGGGGCATGAACCACCCCCTCTGCTGCACTGCTACCCCTTGGGGATCACTGGGCTCCCTCAGGTGCCAGCTTAGTGCTGGGAACACTAGAGGCCAAACCAAATGCCAGGACCCGGCTGCTCCCTTGGATAGGGTGCTTGATCTCTGTCTACGCACCACTCCCCCAACTCCCCCTCTTCAACTGTCTCCTCACTCACCTTTTTTGGAATCTTTTATCTTCTGTCAGTTCATCCACTGGCCTCAGACTCACTCTTCCTAGACAAATAGGAGAGATTCTTGTGGTTTGCAAGGGACAGAGGGAGCCCGTGGCCATGCAGGGGGTGGAGGAGGGCCTGGGTGAGGGCAAGTGGGTGGACTGGGCACTGAAGTAGTGCCTAATTCTGAGGTTGTTCCCCAAGGTGCCAGGACAGGGGGCAGAGTCCCTCCTTTGCCTTGGGAATTCGCAGAGGTCCTTGCAGACTCTGGGAACATGTAGCTCCGGAGGGAGCTTCTCTGTGCCAGGAGTGAAGCAGGGTTGATGGTAGGAGGTGTCTAAGAACCAACCCTGTCATCTCTCTGGTCTTGGGAAGGGGCTGAAGGCCGGGGAAGAGCTCCTGAGCAGAATCTGACAGCCACTGCTGGGAAGAGGCGCCTGAGAATAATAACCCCTGAGGTCCTGAATCCTCTCTGCCTCTTCCTCCTCCTAGCCCCATCACACCTGCTTCCTGGACTGGCCAGGAGCTGGCTCAACTCTGCTGCCCTCACCCCCATTCCCACTCTAGAGGGCTAGAACGGGAGTCCTCCAGGTCTCTGAGCCTCAGTGGCCTCAGCCTCAAAGCATCTCCATTTTCCCCAAGACCTCCCCTCCCTCAACCTCCAGAAGGAGGTGGAACTGAGGCAGGTAGGATGGTGGGGCTCAAGAAGGACCAAGAGCCATGTGTCCTAGCTCCCCAGAGTGAGAGCCCAGGAAAGACTGCGGGGGCAGATGGAGGAAGTGATGCCAAAACCCCTGGGATGGGTGTGCTCCACGGGCAGAGAGCTTCTAGAAGTACCTCTTTTCTGAGTAGGTATCTCCTCTCCCTGCCCCCTTCAGGAACCTTTGTTTTGATCATTACAAAGGCAGCTGTGCCTTTTCTCCGGCAGTCCCCCAACCCATTTCACTCTGAGCTGCCACACCTCCAACCCAACTTTCCCATCTCTCCTATGAACCCCAAGACCCAAAAGACCCAGGAGTGGGCATTTGGGGTGCCTTCTCTGGCATTCTATTCCTTCCCTCAAAGAGAGCTTGAGAAAGAAGCTTCTGGGGTTTGTTCTCAGGCTTCCACACTCCTGCCTCAGTTTCCCAGGCTGTTTTCCCCAAACCCCTGTATACCAGCATGGGGTTGAGAATGTGAACCACAAGATCCTTTAACCTTTCCCTGCCTTCTCCCGCCCCTGCCCCGCGCCCACTCAGTCCTCCCAATTCTGAGCTCCCACGCCTGGGACCTACCTGCCCCACGGCGGTACCCACGGGTTCCACCCGCCAGCCTGAGGTTCTCCTCGCCTCTGGACCCGGGATCGAGACTCCGAAAGGCGGACTGCAGGCGGGAGCGGTCAGCTCCGGTGCTGTCTAGTCCGGAGTCCTGTCCCCCTCACCAAGTTGCTGCGTCCCCGAGGCGCAGGGGCTCTGACCAAACTGGCATCACGGTCATGCAGGGCCCGCCCTGGGCACCGGGGAGTTCCGGGCCCGCTCGGTCAGCTCTGTAGAGCTCAGCCGGGGTCCCTCCGAGGCTGCCGCCCGCAGGCCTGGGAGCTCGCGGCTGTCGCCGCCGCCTCCTCCTCCTCCTAGCCCGGGGCCGCCTCCGCTTCCCCAGCCCCGCGCGGGCGTAGCCGCCGCCGCCTCCCGGACAGCGCCGGGCACCGCGCACAGCTCTCCGCCGGCCCCGCGGGCACAGCGACCCCTGGCGCTCGAGGCAAGACCGGGGGAAGAGAGGACAGCCAGACCCCGCGATGTGGTCCCTGGTATAGGCAGGTAATTCAGAGAGGTCCCTCAAGACTATGGAGGTCTTGGGGCTTGGGGTGGGTTGCTGAGTGTGAGGAGTGATAGCCCAGACCCTCACGGGTTTTGAGCCTTGAAGATTCCCGAACTGCACTGTCCGATACGGTAAATAACATCTTAAGTTTCTCATTTACACACACAACATTTCAAGTGCTCAATCACCACATGCAGCTAGGGACTACTGTACTGGGCAGAAAAGATATAGAATATTCCCACATTGCACAAAATCCTATTTGACAATGCTCTTTTAGATTGCTATGGTAGCCCTTCAGTGTTAAAATGTTAAAATCCAGGAGGAAATAGCAAATGATCTCTACCCCAGGAGCGGTGTCCTCTGGGGCAGGAAGGACCAGGGGAGGCATGTGGGTAGGGGCCTGGAAGGCAGGAGGGCTGTGGTAGGCCTGTGGATGATGGGTATGAACCCCAACTTGGGAACGAAACTCTGAGACCCAGTTTCTTCAGCATAAAAATTGCAATGTAATTGCAATTGTATAGTGTGTAATTTTTTACAGGGTGAGATTCTGGATATGAAAGTATTAGACAAATGAGAGAGGAAGCGGTGGTCTGTGAATTTGTCTCTTGATTGAAGGACACTCCTCTTAGTTTAAGAGGGCTTTGGGATTGGAGTAATGGGGAGGGGAGAGGCAAAGGGAAGAAGCCCAGTTCCTGGCTCTGAGCCACTGCATGTGGCCCAGGATAAAGGGACTTCTCTCTCTGTCTTTTTAAAATTAACTAATTAATATATTTATGTATTTATTTTGGTTGTGCCCGGTCTTAGTTGTGGCACGCGGGATCTTTTTTATTTGCAGTATAAGGACTCTTAGTTGCGGCATGCATGCGGGATCTAGTTCCCCCACCAGGGATCAAACCCAGGCCCCCTGCATTGGGAGAGTGGAGTCTTACCCACTGCGCCACCAGGGAAGTCCCTAAAGGGATTTCTCTTGAGAAATTTCCTACCATTCCTACCATTTCCTACCCCTAGCTGAGGCCTCGCACACTCCTGGCAGGACCAGCCTCTCTGAGCAGTTCTCAGCAAAGAATAACCTACAAGGCTGCTTCTTCCCACTCCATCTCCCTTTTGACTCTCACTCTGTGCTGCCTCAGGGATGAGTAGAGGTGGTGACCTTCTCACCAGGTTCTGGGGCAGTCTGAGGATGCAGGAGGTATGATGATGCCAGGAATAGGAGGTGAGAGGTTCAGGGAGAGGAGAGTCTTAGGATTTGGGTACGGTCGGAGGGCTGTTCTAGAGCCCAAGGGAGCTGTTGACATCCCTGCTGACCATCTGTTGCTGGAACTAGGGGGTCTCTGGGCCCTGGCTCTGTGGCCCACTTGCAGTCACACCATGATGGGTGTTGTGAAGAGCAGGGATTATGGAGCTGGATGACACGGAGAAGTGGTAAGCAAACTGTTCCAGAAACACTGAATAATAAAAATAGCCAGGATGTTATATTTTTTCTTCTGTCTATGGCTTGCTGCCACTGTTTATGCCGTTTATCTGTGAGCTGGTTCCAGTTTTTCTCAAACAGGAGGGAAATACCCATAGCAGCAGCGTGTTCTTTATCTCCCTGTCTGGCTTGCCACTCTATGTGCCTTTGGGTCTGACTTTTTCTGGTTTTCTTTTCTTTTCTTCTTTTTCCTTCTCTCTGCCCAAAGTGCAGGCATAATTATAGAAGTCTACAAACCTGAATGACCATTGTGAGATTTTTATTTGGAAGCTACCAGAAAAGACACTCCTTCTGGGGGTACAGTCTAGCCAGGAACAGAGAGGGTCATGGTCAGGAAGCACCCAGCTGACAGAGTCCAGAGGTGGAATCCCCACCATGAACTGGGTGCCAGTCCCTGAGGACTACCCTGACTTGCATTAGGACCATAAGGGCCTTGTCCCCATTTGAACCATGTGTGGGGTAGGAGGTGTCTCTGGAGGCCTAACAATTAATTCCCAGGCTTAGGAACATAGTTCCAGCATTAGGTCAGTACCACCCTCCCCTCTCAGGCAGGGACTTAGCCTGGCCTCTGTCTCCCCCAGGTGGCAGCCACAGAAGTTGTTCACCTGGACTGTTCTCCGCCTTTGCCTTAAGAAGAGGAGGGTGGGAGAGGAGAGACACCCCCCTCTTCTATTCACCTACCTCTTAACCCTTCCTCTCTGATCTAGATAAATCAGCTTGGTTTTTAAGAACCGGTGTGGGTGGCTGGGGAACGGACATGGGCATGAATTTCCCACTGGCTGTTGACCTCCTGGAACAAGTCATGTAAGGAGTGTCCAGTCCTGCGTCATCCATAAAACGAACATAATAAAACCTACCTTGCAGGGTTGGTGTGCAGTGTAAAGGGCCTAAAGTATAGAAAGTGCTTTGTAGAGAGCCTATTATTAGTAAGTCCTCAATAAATGTAGTTATTGTTATCCTTACTAACAGTTCTGCTGTGGTCAGGGGAGGTCCAAATATGGGCGGAAATTGGGTCCTGAAAAAAAAAAAGTGGAGTCGGAGTGGTAACTGTTCTGCCGGATCTAGCGGTGGTCTTCACGGGGAACAGCGCCCTCGGGAATCCGGGAACTTACCCAGCTCCCTAATTCAGGATGATTGGCTCCAGCCTGCCTTGTTACCACTTCCACACCACTCCCAGCACCAGCTCGCTGGCCCTCACTCTCGCTCCGGCAGCCCCAGCCAGAGGTGTCACCACAACCGGAGCTTCACACCCAGCGGTCGCTAACGGAGATCATCAGCTCCATCACCCTCTGGGCAGGCTAGGCACAACGAACCCAGGGCGAGGGTGGGAGACACCACCCTCCCGTCACAATAGGGAAGTTCTATCTGATTAATATAGAGCAAGGCTGAAATAAGATTTCTGTCCCCTTCCTACAACAGCAGACCCTTCTTCCCCCCAAAAAACAGAGGCGGGAGAAGTCGGAACGGGGCGGGGGAGAGGCCGCGAGCCGGAGGGGCTGTTCCCGGGGTAGCCCAGAGCCGCAGGTAGTTTTCCCGGGGACCGGCCCTGCGGGCCGCGAGCCAATGGTGGGGCCGAACTGGCCGGAGCGAGCACCGCCCCTCGAGAGCCCTAGGGGGCGGGGCCTGTCCTGGGGCGGGGCCACGGCCGAGGGCGGGGAAGGGAGGCAGCATGCTAAACCGGGTGCGTTCGGCCGTGGCGCACCTGGTGAGCTCTGGGGGCGCCCCGCCTCCGCGCCCCAAGTCGCCAGACCTGCCCAACTCGACCTCGGCGCCACCCGCCGCCCCTCCACAAGCTCCCAGAAGCCCTCCGGCTAGGGCTGGGAGCGGCAGTGCGGCGCCCGCGAGGACAGTAGAGTCTCGAGCAAGCTTCTGCCGACCGACCTTTCTGCAGCTGAGCCCTGGGGGCCTGCGACGCGCCGATGACCACGCTGGCCGGGCTGTGCAAAGCCCCCCGGACACTGGCCGTCGCCTGCCTTGGAGCACGGGCTACGCCGAGTGAGCGCCCCCGGGGGCACCCTAACCAGGATGGGACTCCCATTCCCAACCTCATCCCCACCTTGGCATCCCGGGCGCTGGGACGCATCCCCCCTCGCCGCTCTCGGTGCCAGGAGCTCCTTTTTCCCAGGACCTTTGCCGTCCTCTGGGTTTCGGGCCGCACCCACTCCCAGCCCTTTCTCAAGTCGGGTGCAGCTTTTCTCAGGACTTTCTAGCTCGTTGACTATCCTCACCCGCGCCGCTTCAGGACCTTGTTCTCTCCCAGAGCCCGGAGAGTGGAGGGCCCGTGAACGATGAGTTGGCCAGTTGTCAGTCGCGGCCCGGTAGTTTAATGGCTAAGGGAAGAGAGATTTCAAGGAGCGGGGGTCCCTTTTAATATAGGAGATGGCGGCTGGAAAAACTCCTTGGGCTTCCCGACCCCAGCGCCCCAGTTCCCTGTCCCTCTTACCATTCCCCTCCCCCTCCACACCCAGAAATAGCCCGCGACACCAGGCGGCCGCCGGCTTCCCCAGGGGCGGGGGAGGGGGCCACCCGGGGAAGCGGGAGGGCCCCCTTTGAACACCTCTTGGCGGGTGGACTTGCCCTGGCCAGGCAAGGAAGTGGACCTCCGGGCCAGAGCGGTGGGAGTGGCGGCAGCAGCCGGCTTGCTCCAAGGCTGCGTGAATTTTTTTTTTTTTTTTGCTTGTTTGGTTGTTTGTTGGCAGTGCAGGATCTTAGTTCCCTGACCCGGGGACCCGGCAGTGAGACCGAGGAGTCCTAACCACTGGACCACTAGGGGATTCCTACAGGGCCGGTGGATTTTTAATGCATCTGCTGGGAGAGCAGAGAACTGAGGGAGATGGGGGCGCTGAGGGGCTGAGGGTCGTGGCTGGTGGACCCGCGGCCCCACTACCGGCTCCTTTAACTTCCTATTTGGGAAGAGTTTGGGGTTATGTGGCTCCTGCGCAGTCCAGGGAGGCTTCCACTCCTACCCTATTTCAATTCCTCTTTCCTGATCTGTGCCGGAGCACTTACTCATTGCCAAACAGCAGAAACTGGGACTTCACTGGCGGTCTGATGGTTAAGACTCCATGCTTCCAATGCAGGGAGCGCGGGTTTGACACCTCGTGGGGGGGGCGGAACTAAGATCCCACAAGAAGCCAAAAAAGAAAAAAAAAAAAAAAAGCAGCAGAAACTTTCACTGGATGATTTTAGGATAAAGGTGGGTGTGCTCATGAGGGTGGGGTGGGGTGTTGTGGACAAGAAGCTAGAAGAGTTTTTTGGGGGTCAGAGTGGATGCAGGGTCTCGGCAAGCCAGGAATTAAAACCTCCTTCCCTCCATCCAGGTCCTCCCCCAGTGATACCATTAGGGAAGGGATGGGAGACCTGAGGTGGGAGAGTGCTGCTGTGGCCTTTCTAGGAGGTGGTGGAGCCCAACACCTAGGCAGTACTCCTTGTGCCTTGCCCTGCCTCCCTTCTCCTCCTCCCTCTGGCCTGGTTCCCAGGTGGCTGTGACCTTTCTCAGCTTGGCCAGCAGGCCAGAGAGGGTATGTGTGTCTCAGGTGGGAGTTATTCCAGGACCTTGTCTGGTGTCCAACCTGATGTGGTCACTTTGGCCTGACAGGGTCATCAACTCTGGCAAGAGCCGGCACAATGAGGACCAGGCTTGCTGTGAAGTGGTGTATGTGGAAGGTCGGAGGAGTGTTTCAGGGGCACCTAGGGAGCCTAGCCGAGGCCAGGTAAGCTCCCCACCCCCTTTCCTAACCTCCACAGGAGACACCTATCCCCAGGGATTCTAGGCTTTCGGTTTTAATCTGAGCCATGTGATAGACCTACCCCCTAACTCACTAGCTTTCTACTTCAATGGCACAGAATTTTATCTGGCATTGATCAGGTAGATTCTACCATGTCAGTGTGAATATTTAGTTTTCCACTTAAAATGGAGATATGCTCATGTATTCATTGATGATTTAATAACTACCATTGCTTATTTTTGCATCTTTTATCCTCTGAGTTTGACTTTCTTATTTTTTTTTTTATTTTTTATTTTTTTTTGCGGTACGCGGGCCTCTCACTGCTGTGGCCTCTCCCGTTGCGGAGCACAGGCTCCGGACGTGCAGGCTCAGCGGCCATGGCTCACAGGCCCAGCCGCTCCGCGGCATGTGGGATCCTCCCGGACCGGGGCATGAACCCGTGTCCCTTGCATCGGCAGGCGGACTCTCAACCACTGCGCCACCAGGGAAGCCCAAGTTTGACTTTTTTGATGCTTTGCTTTCAGACACATAGTATGCCTTTGGTGAATGAGTGAATAAATCTAATTTGCTTTAAATACCAAAATCTAACCTCCTCTCTCATGTTTATATGGATGCCCAGAGTCTTGCTCTTCTCCCTGCATAACACAAACACACACATGCACACACACACACACACACACACACACTCACCTCAAACTTTTCCTCCACCAGGGACTCTGCTTCTACTACTGGGGCCTGTTTGATGGGCATGCAGGAGGCAGAGCTGCCGAAATGGCCTCTAGGCTCCTGCATCGCCACATTCGGGAGCAGCTAAAGGACCTGGTAGAGATACTCCAGGACCCCTCGCCACCTCCCCTCTGCCTCCCGTCCACCCCAGGGGCTCCAGGTTCCTCTGATTCCTCTCACTTGGTTGGTCCTCAGTCCTGCTGGTCTTCGCAGAAGGAAGTGACTCATGAGAGCCTGGTAGTGGGTGCCATTGAGAATGCCTTCCAGTTCATGGTAAGTGGGTGGCCTGGGCCAAGGGCCTGCCAGGCAGACACTTTGGTCAACTCTGTATGGGAGTCAGGTGGCCTGAGGAGGTGACCCTGAGAACCCATAACAGCTTTGAGAACCTGAGCAGAACTTGGTTCAGAGGGAGGGAGAAGTGGGTGTTATACCGATGTCTTCCCTACTGTCCACCAGTATGGCTTGCCTGGGCCAGTTTGTTTCTGCAGATGTGGGCGGGTGGCTGTGTGTCTGGAGCCTCTTCTTCATCCACCCCCTTTGACCCTTCCTCATATGGCAGGATGAGCAGATGGCCCGGGAGCGGCATGGCCACCAAGTGGAGGGGGGCTGCTGTGCACTGGTTGTGGTCTACTTGCTAGGCAAGGTGTACGTAGCCAATGCAGGTGACAGCAGGTATGGGGTGGGAGCTTTGATAAAGGCTGTGCGGGGGAGGGGTCAAGCTTCTGGGATGGGGGAATAGAAGAGAGTGACGTGGTGGGTGTTAACGTTCAGAGATTGGAACGGGTCAGGAGGGATCACAGACATAAGGAAGGGCCTGAAATAGCTATGAGGGGAGGAAAACTGGGGGTCTGGGTGAGGGACTCTAAGGGAGGGCCTTGTCTTTTTGGAACTCTTTATGTGAGGGGGTTGCAGAGAGCCAAGCCCAAACCTTTTGTTTCTCTGGGCAGAGCCATCATTGTCCGGAATGGAGAAATCATTCCAATGTCCCGGGAGTTCACCCCGGAGACTGAGCGCCAGCGTCTCCAGATGCTTGTAAGTAGGAACTAAACTCCCTACTCCCATCTTACTAATCTTGTGCCTCTCTGTACCCTGTGTCCCAAGGACTCTCCGACCCTCACCACACAGACAGACCGCTCCTTACTGGGAGCTTACTGGGAAGGCCACTCCACAGACTATGGAGTGTAGGGCTGAGCTGGTGTGGAGGATGTGGCAGGAAAGAGCGTGGGCTGCTCCAGTGCCTTCCACTGTGGCCCCAACTGAGGAAGGAAGTGCAGTCAGAGTGGGGGAAGGAAACAGCAAAGGCTCCTAAGGGGCAGGATAGCTTAGTGCTTTAAAGCAATGGCTCTGGAGCTGGGCTGCCTGGGATTGAATCCTGGTTTGAGTACTTTGTGTGATCTTCAAAAGTTCCCTGAACTTCTCCATAAATCAAGAGTTACTGCCTTAAAATTTGTTGTGAGGATTAAATGAGCTAATATATGTTAATATTAGAACAGTGCATGGTACACAGTAAACTCCATTTAAGGGTCTGCTATAATTAACATCACCTCTACACCAGGGTGTACTGTAAACCTAATGCCCCCGGCCCTCTGCTCTGTCTGGCCGCTCCCAACCCCAGGGCTTCCTGAAACCAGAGCTGCTGGGTGGTGAATTCACCCACCTTGAGTTCCCCCGCAGAGTTCAGCCTAAGGAGCTGGGGCAGAGGATGCTGTACCGGGACCAGAACATGACTGGCTGGTAACACTTCCCTCAGAGCTGGGGCCCGTTTCCATGGCAACACAACCAGTCCCTCGCCAACAGCAAGATGGAAGCTGGAGGCTGGGCCAGGCTGGGAGCTGGGGGAATGCCGCCCTTCTAAGGGGTTTGTGTAAGGGGTGTGGCTCCTAGGGGAGAGGGACTTTGATGCCTGGGTGATGCCTCCTCTACTCCCCCCTCCCCAGGGCCTACAAAAAGATCGAGCTGGAGGATCTCAGGTTTCCTCTGGTCTGTGGGGAGGGCAAAAAGGTAAACTCCATGGTAGAGGTGGGAGAGGGCAGGAGGACCCACCACGACTTGTCTTGGGAGGTGGAGGTTCTACCCAAGGGTAGGGGTGGAAAGGGTCCACGGTCCCAGAGAGACTGGGAGAAGGCTATAGTAGTGTCCCCTCCTCATTTCCTTTAGGCTCGAATGATGGCCACCATTGGGGTGACCCGGGGCTTGGGAGACCACAACCTCAGGGTCTGCAGTTCTACCCTGCCCATCAAGCCCTTCCTCTCCTCTTTCCCTGAGGTGAGCCACATGGGAGCCTCCTTAGCCTTCCCTGCTCTGGGGGTCTCAGGCTAGCTTTCTCCCAAGGTCGCTTTATCCCCAAGCTCCCTCTGCACCCTCTCTCCCCACCAGGTACGAGTGTATGACCTGACGCAGTATGAGCACTGCCCAGATGACGTGCTAGTCCTGGGAACAGATGGGCTGTGGGATGTCACCAGTGACTGTGAGGTAGCTGCCACTGTGGACAGGGTGCTGTCAGCCTATGAGCCCAATGACCCCAGCAGGTAGGGGCTGTATGGCGGCAAGGGGATGACGATGGGGAAGGAAGGGACACAGGGAAGAAATGCTTGGGAACCCACATGAGGGCCTGTGTATCCATCTTCCCACGTACATGTTGGTACATGAATGTGCACATGTGCTTCTGACAGGTACACAGCTCTGGCCCAAGCTCTGGTCCTGGGGGCCCGGGGTACCCCCCGGGACCGTGGTTGGCGTCTCCCCAACAACAAGCTGGGTTCCGGGGATGACATCTCGGTCTTCGTCATCCCCCTGGGAGGGCCAGGCAGCTACTCCTGAGGGGCTCAGCCCCGAACCTCCCACCACCATCCCAGCCTCTCCATGCTTACCCCTCTCCCAACCCAAATTCTGAAGTTGTCTCCTTGACCTTCTTTAGTGGCAATTTAACTGAAGAAGGGGTGCCAGTTAGATCCAAAATTTTAGCCCTTGGCAAATAAACCAGATGGATAAATGTGTGTGTCTTTATTTTCTTTGACTAAAAACTGTCCCAGTTGTCTCCCGAACATCTCCTAGACATCTCACAGGCACTTCAACTCAACATTCCTCCAACTGAATTCATTATTTCCCCTACAAATATGTCCTCTCCCTGCTCATCATCTCAGGGGGCACCAGCTCAGCTACTCAAGTTAGAATTCTTGGGGTTGAGCACCTTTGGCTTCCGTTTCTTCCTCATCAAGCTAATCAATCACTAAATATTGTTGATTATATATTTTTAAATATATTTCTTTAAAAAACATTTTTTTTTTAGTTTTTGGCCGCGCTGCATGCGGATTCTAGTTCCCCGGGGGACCAGGGATTGAACCTGTGCCCCCTGCATGGGAAGTGCGGAGTCTTAACCACTGGACCACCAGGGAAGTCCCTTAAATATATTTCTATTTGTCCATCCCTACAGTCACTACCTTAGTCCTTCAGTATATTAGCCTCCTAATTGTCTCCAAGCCACTCCCCTGCTTTCCCCAATATATAATATACACAGCAGCCAGGGAGCCCTTTCCACAGGGTGAATCCGAGTTGGTGATTCCTCTGAGAAAATACTTTGGTGGCTCCTTACTGCACCTAGACCAAAACTGACACTCAACTCTTGAGCATGGCATATAAGGACCTTCATATCTGGCCACTGCTTCCTTCTCCAGCCCTGTCTTCTGCCCCACCCCGCCTTGTGTTTTCCACAACTCTGGGTCTGGAGTAGCTCCAACTCATTTAAAATCTACACATCACCTCATCCTGAAGGCTTCACTTGTCCTTCCACAGCCCAGGCATGCCCCCACTATAGCGCTCACCTCTTGTACTGTAACTGTCTATATGAGGAGTTGGTACGGAGTAGCAGTTAAGGAACAGGGGCTTGAAAGTCCTGCTGTTTGGGTCCTGGTGCCAAACCCAACACTAGGTTTGCAATCTCTCTGAGCCTCAATTTGCTTTTTGGAAAAATGGAGATAACAGTACTATCTCAGGAGGTAGTTGTAGGACTAAAGTAGTTTATGTATGTAGAGCCAGGTCCATGTAATAAGGGTTCAATAACTATTACCTATCTTTAAGTTGTCTGCATTTGGAATTTAGATTGTAAGTTCTTTGAAGGCAGAAACTGATTTGAACTGAGCACATAGCTCAGTTTAGTGAGCCAGTTAAGAGGCCTGGGACCAAACTGCACTGGACCTCAGTTTCATCATTTAGCAAATGTGTGGGTTGCTCTTCAGATCTTTAAAGTCTGTATGACTTCTAACATTCATTCATTCAGCAAGTATTTGTTGAAAATCTATTATGTGCCACACACTGTGCCAGACAGTGGGAAGGGACAGGTTGGAGGATCACAGTGGGCAGTAGAGAGAGAGACCAGCTTTGGAGCCAGACAGGCCTGACTATCTGAGTTCTTGCTCTGCCACATACAAATGGCAAAATCAAGCCACTTAAGTTAAGCCACTTAACTCCCCCCCGAGCCTCAGTTTACTTACAGGCAAAAGGGGATGGGTACACTTAACCTAGGGATCTGTGATGACTATTAGAAGCTATGTAGTGTTCCCTGCACAAGCTAATAAAATGTGAGTAGACTTCCTCATCCTCCATCCACCTCCTCAGGTACCTTTCAGGGAAGAAGATACACCAGTTGGTAAATACCCAACGCACAAGTCAGGCCCGGCTAGGTGTCCCTAGAGGCACAGAAATAATACAACGGGGGTGGCAACTGAATTCCCAGCTGGGGATCCAGAAAGATTCCAGGGTGGAAGGATGGGTAGGAGTTGGAAATTCCAGGTAGGGGGAAGGAAGGGAATTGTGAGGTGGAACCAAGTGCCCTGAATCTCAAAGGTTCTGAAAGGTCTCCAGGCCTGGGGGGATGATGGTGGGTTGTACTTACTCCGCAATGATCCTAGGAGCAGAGGGTGGGCATCTTCCGCGGCCTCCTCCTCGGGCGTCCCCGAAGCCGTCTTTTCCAGTCCCGCCTCCCGCGAAGCCCCAGGTGATGTAGGCGCGGGTGGCCGGTTGGCCACGCGAGGGCAGCAGCGGCCCTTTCCCGACCCCACCCCGGGCGCCTCTCAACTTTCCCGACGCCGGTCCGCCACTAGGAGCTGGAAGGTGGGGCAGAGGAAGAGTCCTCAGGGGTCCCGTTCGCCGCGCCTCGCCCCGCTGCCCACTCCTCCACAGTCCCAGCATCTCCCCCAGATCCCGGGGACTCTCGCTGGGCGACCCTCTGGGGCCGTGAGTGGGGGCCGTGGGCGGGCGGAGCCAAGGACCGCCCGGCCCGCCCCTCCCCGCGAGTCGCCCCTCCCCGCCGCGGCGCTGGAGGAGGGCGGGGCGGTGCCCCTCGGGTCAGTCTCTGCCTCCGGCACCGGCCGCGCAGCTGGAAGCGGCGGAGCGGAAGGTATCCCGGGTTGGGGCTCTGGGCGGCGGGGTCGTCCTGGGAACTCATCCCCAGGAGAGCACTCCCCCCTTCTCCGCCTGGCAGGAGCTCGGGGCGCCGGCCGGGGAGGGGCTTTGGTCCGAGCGCGGGCCGCCTGCTCTCCCTCGTACGCGGCGTCTGGGCGGTGCGGGGGTCGGGCCGGCTCGGCCCCTCCCTGCCCTCCTGGGCTGCAGTGAGGGGCCCCGGGAATTGCCCCGCAGGGCCTCTCGCCTCTTGGTGTCCGAGTCGGAGTCAGTTCCCTTCTCCCGGCTTCCCGGAACCTGCCCGGCCGGGCGAGGGGAGAGACGGCAACTTGGGTCTCCGCGAGGGAGCCCCAGCGCAGACGCTCTAGCTCCCAGGCCTGGCGGCCCTCTGTGAACCTGGGCTTGGGTGTGGGTCTGGGCCCGAGTCCGGGTTGAGGTGGGAATCCCCCCCTCCGGGCCGGTGGAGTGGCGGGAATAGGGGCGGGTGTGACCGCGGGGGCTGCCACTGTCCCGGGGGTCTGGACGTCGCCCTAGATGGTTTCTGGAGCCGGCCTGGAGTGGAGGTACAGGAGATTGGGAAGGATCCAGCCCGTATGTGCGTGTGTGTGCATGTGTGTGCGTGTGTGTGTGTGTGTGTGTGTGTGTGTGTGTGTGTGGTTTTCAAGTTGAGGAGGAGGTATCTGATTTCTTCCCTAGACCTCAGGGGTGGTGGGCAGGGTACAGCAGAACCTGGTTCATCTGGAAATCTAGAGAATGATTGAGGAGACGGCAGCCGTTTTATTCCAGGGAAGGCCCCAGAAATTCCAGGGTCATTCCAGGCCCCGTGTGGGGTTTGGTTGCCCCTCTTAGGGTCAGTGGGGCAGTTCCTCAGGGGCTGCCTCTCACAGGGAGCTGTTGTTTTCGCCATCTTGGCGTTGGGCCTGGTGGCCTGGCCTGGCCTGGCCTGGGCCAACTACTCTTCTGAGCCTGAAGGGAACATCTTCTAATTGAGATGGGGGGGCTCTAGGTCATTTAATGCATGCCCTTGCCCTGGAGTTCTGGCCTCTGCCCACCACCATCTGGTGCCACCTAAACTGCCTTGCCTGGGGCGGGCATACTCATGCCTAAGCAACAATTGGTATTCACCCTAGTGGTGAATGTGCTCCATCCCTCCATCAATACTGCCCATCCCAGGTTGAGGCTACCCCAGCCTGTCTTCCCACAGTTGGACCAATGGAACCTGTGGGAGTAGGTGAGGGTGCTGGTCACCTGGGTGGAATTTCCAGGGGACCCCCTTTTCTTTTTTTTAAAAATTAATGTATTTTATTTATTTTTGGCCGCGTTGGGTCTTCTTTGCTGCACAGGGGCTTTCTCTAGTTGCGGTGAGCGGGCCCTACTCTTCGTTTGCGGTGCGCGCGCGGGCTTCTCATTGCAGTGGCTTCTCCTGTTGCAGAGCACAGGGCTCTAGGGCACGCGGGCTTCAGTAATTGTGGCACAGGGACTCAGTAGTTGTGGCTCGCGGGCTCTAGAGCACAGGCTCAGTAGTTGTGGCACACGAGCTTAGTTGCTCCATGGCACGTGGGATCTTCCCAGACCACGGCTCGAACCCGTCTCCTGCATTGGCAGGCAGATTCTTAAGCACTGCGCCACCAGGGAAGCCTGAGACCCCCTTTTTTGAAGGGTGGTTTCCATTTTTGGAGGGGATCTGCTGGCAGGGTGAATGCCTTCTTGCCTGTTTTGGGGGTATCAGAGAGCCCCTGTTGTGATGGGGAGAGTGTGGCCATGCACTCAACTCCTATAAATTCCCTCTGATTCATATCCACTTGCCCCCATCCCACTGTTGTGCATGTGTGTGTGGAGGGGAAGGAGGCCACCCGGGACCCCACTGCTGAAGAGAGCTTGCCTTGGGCTGGAGTATTCGCTCCCTAAAAGGCAGACCAAGGCAGGGCTGTGAGGTGGTGGTGGTGTGTGGGGAGTAAAGGAGCTCAGCCTAGTTTGACAGGATGTGGGACTGAGAAAAAGCCAGGTTTGGGGCAGAGATCAGGTTACCGTCCCCTTCTTTTTTAACTACTCCCTGTGTGGTTGGTGCTGGGACTGGCCCTCATTTGTCTCTTTTTTGGGGGCTCCTCCCAGCACAGGCTCCAGCCTCCGCTTCTCCCAACAGCTTCGACTTCATCTCAGGCCCAGAGCCCGCCCTCTCTTCCTCCTCGGCTGTAGGCCTGGGAACTCCAGCCGACTGGAGATCAGCTCCTCTCCCCAGGGAAGGAGGAAGTGAGGCTCAGCTGAGGCGCGGGGAAGCTGGGAAGGTGTGATGAACTGTGCAGATGCTCTTTGGTGTGTGTTGGGGGCAGGGACCAGATGGAAACCCCAGGAAGCTGACTCCTTGCCCTGAGTCACAGGGAGGGGTGGGCAGGGCCTCAGGGTGAGCTGGACAGAGTGGAGGAAGGGGCTGTTCCAGGGAGTGGGTGGAGGTGATTCCCTAGTGGATTATTCTCAGTCGCTCTGCTGTGGTAGATGTGTGGCTCCCTACAGTGTGGTCATTGTCCCCTGCCTGGGGCTGAGTGACCCAGTGTAGCTTCCAGGCCCAGTAGGAAGCAGGGGGAGGAAGGCAGGCTGCCCGAATGTGGGCTGTGGGCACTGCCTGGACTGAGCCTCCTTTGTGTGACTCGGGGCTCTGGGGACCGGGACAGGGTGGGCCAGGGAAGCCTGCTGGCTGCTGCCGCTGCCCTCTGTCTGGGTTTCCCTCCCTCTGCTCTCCTTCCCACCTCTGGGGTGATATGTAGAAAAGCAACAGACTCTAGAGTCACACAGCCCTGCTTTGAGTGCCATCCCTGCCACAACTCTGAATTCATGTCTTAACCTCGATGAATCTCACTTTCCTAGTTTGTCAAAATGGGGAGCTCACTACCTACCTTCCAGGCTTCTGGGGACTGAGGGAGGTGATTTTTGTCCAAATGCCCACCATAGTGCCTGGCACCTAGGGGTGTGATAAATACTTTCCCTTACCCACCCATATGGGTAGGGACTCTTCGTTTTTCGCTGGGCAGGCATGACTTGTGCTGACTTTGGGACAGTGTGTTCCAGATTGGACCTTCACAATTATTAAACTTTAAAAAGTATCGAAATCCTGGTAACAAATACATCTGACTTGAAACCCTGATATGTAGAATAGATAAAAGCTTGCCCTTCTGGACACGTCACTGGTCCCTGAGCACCCCTCTAGGTGTCCAGGGGCCCACAGTTGGGGAGTAGATTAGATTAGAACTCATGCTTTCTGTCTCCCAAGTGGGTGGTTCTTCCACCTCCCACTTCTGTATTCTAACCCATGGGGGAGACCTGTCCCTGACCTTGAGATTAGGAATTTCAAGCTCAGTTGCCCGACCACTTGGTTCTTGGCAAGAACATGCCTGAGCAAGCCCTTTTCCCTCCCTCCTCTCCCTTCACTGGATGCCTCGGTTTCCAGGGAGGGCTTGGGGGCCCTAGAGAAGTGTTTGTGGACTTACTGTCTTTTCCCAACATCCCCACTGCCTCTTCCCTACCAGCCCCAGCCATGGCTGCCATTCGAAAGAAGCTGGTGATCGTGGGGGATGGGGCCTGTGGGAAGACCTGCCTCCTCATTGTCTTCAGCAAGGATCAGTTCCCAGAAGTCTATGTCCCTACTGTCTTTGAGAACTACATCGCCGACATAGAGGTGGACGGCAAGCAGGTAAGGGCGAAGAGCCCCTTGGAACCACGCCTGCCCCCATCCCTTATGGACCTGGGATGTCCGTGCTCACCATCCACCCATGTCCTTGCTTCACTCTCCCTGCTGGAACCAGTGGAAGTTAGGAAGTGAAACTGCAGTCTTAGGAAATCTGGATAACCTCCTGGTTTTTTACACGCTGGCTCTGTAATCTGGGCCCAGTCCCTTTGCCTCTGGGTTTAAGCTCCCCCAGCTGTGAAATGGAAATAATGGTAAGGCCTCCTTCGAAGGGTTTTTATGAGTATTAAGTAAAATAGTGGCGCTCCCGATGGCAGCTCAAACTGCACAAAGATCAAACGCTGTTGTCTCAGGATTTAAGAAACTCACCTTAGTTTATGTTGTGTGACAATGATTAGCACTATCCCTGGCACATAGTAGGTGTTCAATAGGTAGATGTTCAGTGAACCTAAAGGACCAGGATTTCAGAGAGGACCTCTGGGTGGCAGGGTGTGGGGTGTGTAACTGGGGCCCTCAGGCTAGCTAAGCACTGGCCCTGTGTGTCAGGTGGAGCTGGCTCTATGGGACACAGCAGGGCAGGAAGACTATGATCGCCTGCGGCCTCTCTCCTACCCGGACACTGATGTCATCCTCATGTGCTTCTCCATCGACAGCCCCGACAGCCTGGGTGAGGGGGTTGGAGGGAGGGGTCTGAGAATCCCTTGGAATCAACCAACCAGAGGGAGCTCTTGCCTTGGCTCCTTTCAGCCATCTTCAGAAGCTGTGTGGGAGGGGTGCCGGGGAGCCCCGTTAGCCTCCTTCCCTGTGGTGACTCTGGCCCTCCGAGGGCTCAGGGAAGGGTGTGTACTGTGAGGGGGGCGGGGGTGGCTATTCATGCTGAATAGCCTCTAAGACTCTGCCCTGCGGAGACAAGGGGACCCGGGGGAAGCCTTCTAGCCTAAGTGGAGGCACCAACACCTGTTGGGACGTGTCTGTGCAGAAAACATTCCTGAGAAGTGGACCCCAGAGGTGAAGCACTTCTGCCCCAACGTGCCCATCATCCTAGTGGGGAATAAGAAGGACCTGAGGCAAGATGAACATACCCGGAGAGAGCTGGCCAAGATGAAGCAGGTGGGTGCAGCCGCCAGGCTGGGAGGCCTTGGGGAGGAAGGTGCCCTCTGAGGGCTTGCAGGCTGGTGAAGGAGCCTCCCTCCTACTGACTCCCCATGTTAGAAGTGACGGTAGCGTCCACCTCCTACCCCCCTGGCACCCCCACCCTGGTGAGGGAGAACCAGAGGGGCCCTTAGGGTCTGACCCAATATTCCATGAGACTGTCAGAGGACGGTGACTTGTCCAAGGTCATTTGGCATTTTGTCTGTTGTCCGCTGTTTGGCATTGGAGCTATTAAGATGAATGAGAAAATCCTTGCCCTCAGGGAACCGGGTTCTTAGAGTAGATGTTTTGCTTGAGGTATGCAGGTGGAGCCATCAGAGTATACCTGGGGAGGTGTGTGGGCTGCTGTGGATGTGGAACGGAGGGTATTCTAAGTGGCTGGGAAAAGGCCCAGAGTGAGGGAGCTGGCTTATTTGGGGACCTGGTAAGTGGCTTTCTAGCCAGAGGATGAGTTGATTAGGGAGAGCTGCCAGGATAAGGAATCTAGACTATTCTTTGAACATAATTATGGCAGAGTTTTAAACTGGGGACAGATATGGTCAGAGTCAGCATGTTAGAAAACTGATTCTGGCAGCCATAGAGGATGGATTGGAAGAAAGTGAGAACAGAGGCTGGGAGGTCGGTCAGGGGATGGTAGATCCTCACTCAGGCAAGAGAAGAGTGTACCGTGGGGTATAGGGCTGATGGGGAGAATTCTGAAGCTAAGTAGGAGTCTTGGGTCTCTAGCCTAGAAGCCATCCACGGTGGCCGGGGCTTGGATGCTCCGTGGGGTCAGGGCTGGAGGAGATATTTGTTCTTGTTACAAATATGGGTGAGGTACACCTAACCAGCAGCTTCCTTTGACGACTCTCCTCCTGCCTTCCCAGGAGCCTGTTCGATCTGAGGAAGGCCGGGACATGGCGAACCGGATCAGTGCCTTTGGCTACCTTGAGTGCTCAGCGAAGACCAAGGAGGGGGTGCGGGAGGTGTTTGAGATGGCCACTCGGGCTGGCCTCCAGGTCCGCAAGAACAAGCGCCGGAGGGGCTGCCCCATTCTCTGAGGTCCCAAGCCTCCCCTCCTCCCTTCACAGGGTGCAGGAACTCCCCCTGCCCCCAACAGCCCCACCCTATTAGGGATCCCTGCTGAAGGCTCCCTTTCCCAACTCCCTCCTGCCCAGGACTGCATCGCGCTTCCCCAGCCCTGATGGTGGTGGCCGTAGGCCCCGACTCAGCACTCTGGGAACCAGAGCACAGTCCCTCCTGTTGTCTTGGTCCAGGGGTGGGGCTCTTGATCCCTTTGGCCTTCCCCAGAGGATCATCACACCAGCACTTTATACACTTCTGGCTCACAGGAGAGTATGTGGGGTAGGGGACTTGGAGGGTGTAACCCAGAGTCCCGGGCCCCCGGTGTTTCTGCTTTGGGCAGGGGCCTTGCATCTGGCTGTACTTGGTGTGGGGCATGAATAAAGGCCACAGGCTCCAACATGTGTGTGGCTTCCTGTCTTTCTCTCCTGGTCCCTGTGAGCCTGGAGTCCCATCTCTCCAGGGTGCTTGCCAGGCTGGCCCCCTGTCTGCAAAGGCAGGACTCTCGGGCAGGCAGGGTGGAGTCTTGGAGAAAAGGATGAGGTCATGCCTGGCTCTGGGCCTTGGAGGCGGGTGAGGGGAGTGGTCTGGCGCACTGGGCTAAACTTAGAAGCCTGTGGGTGGCTTCCCTGCCACCTCCCACTAGATTTCCTCCCCTGGACATGGGGGTTGGGTTCCTTTCTGGGGGGGGGGAGGGGTATGGCCCTGGGCTGTTGTGACAGTCCCACCCTCCCCTGTGAGGTCATCTTGGGAGTTCAGGAAGCTGGGGCCAGGCTGAAGAGACAAGGAGGCTTTTGCATAGAATAAGCTTTTTTTTTTTTTTCAGTTTTACTTCCTCCCCCTTCCCCCAATTGTTAGCAGCTTGATGTTAGCAGCAGGGGAAGGGTCGGGTGGGCGGTCCTCAGAGCTCATTCCTCCACTCGGGCTCCACTTGCAGGGGCAGGCCCCCTTCACCCTCCCGCGCCTGGCAGTCGTGACTTTTGGGTCCTACAAAGAGAGGAGGCCAGCTCTGTTAGTAACTTACATCCTCCCTCAGCACTGTCCCCCAACCAAGCCCACCCTGGCCCAGCCATACCTGAGGTAGAGGGGCTGAGTTTGCTCAGACCCTGGAGTAAGTTCTGCCCCTGCTGCAGGTCCAGTTTGGCAGGGAAGGGGCACCCGGTATACCCCCCGTTTTCTTTACAGAACTCTAGGAATCTGTGGGGTACAGGGACATCCACACACACAGCTGCACAAGGCTGGCTGAGTACCAGCAGAGGCTGGAGGCCCAGCCTTGGTCCTGCACATGGGGCCTGTGCCTTGGGGCAAGTTACTTAACCTTGGCAAATGGGGATATTGTTAAGATAAACAGATTGGGGCTTCCCTGGTGGCGCAGTGGTTGAGAGTCCGCCTGCCGATGCAGGGGACACGGGTTCGTGCCTCGGTCCGGGAGGATCCCACGTGCCACGGAGCGGCTGGGCCCGTGAGCCATGGCCGCTGAGCCTGTGCATCCGGAGCCTGTGCTCCGCAACGGGAGAGGCCACAGCAGTGAGAGGCCCGCATACCGCAAAAAAAAAAAAAAAAAAAAAAAAAAAGATAAACAGATTGGAGAGGCCTGCATACCGCAAAAAAAACCAGATAAACAGATTGGAAGATTAACTGAGCCCCAAGGGTGCTTCATAAAACTACAGCTGTCCTAGGCTGGGGGCTGTGGCCACCAGGAGGGATTGTGGGTGGGATGCTCACACTTTCCAGTCGGGGTCGTGGCCCAGCAGGAGCGGGTTGCCCACCACGATGAGCAAAGCCTTGGCCCGGGTCACAGCCACGTTGAACCTCTGATAAGAAGAAATGCTGGGGTCACAGCAGGGAAGAGCCCTCAGGAAGGAGGAGTCCCTGCCACCCCCCAGCCCCCGAACCTTGGGGTTCTTGAGGAAACCCAGGTTAAAGTCCAGATCCAGCTGCACAAAGCTCTGGCTGCTCCGCACGGTGGAGATGAGGATGACGCTGCGCTCCTGGCCTTGAAACTCCTCCACGGAGCCCACCTAGAGGGGAGGGATGGCCTTGAAACTCTTCCACGGAGCCCACCTAGAGGGGAGGGAGGCAGTGGGGGACCCAGGGACCAGCCCCGCCTCGCCTCAGTGAGACTGAGGGCAATTGTCACCGTGGAGTGAGCCAGTGTCCTGCTGGGCAGGAAAGAGGACAGGACAGTGCCATGGAAGCTGAAACCTGAAGGCCGAATCCAGTTAAAGGGATGGGGGCTCGAAAGGGTTCTAAGCAAAGAAAACAGGACTGCAAAGAACAATAACTCAGCAGTGTTTTTCAAACTTTCCTGAAGATAATCACTCAGTACTTGTTAAAAATATGTAACCTTAGGGGCTTCCCTGGTGGCGCAGTGGTTGAGAGTCCGCCTGCCGATGCAGGGGACACGGGTTCGTGCCCCGGTCCGGAAGGATCCCACATGCCGCGGAGCGGCTGGGCCCGTGAGCCATGGCCGCTGAGCCTGTGCGTCCGGAGCCTGTGCTCCGCAACGGGAGAGGCCACAACAGTGAGAGGCCCGCGTAACGCAAAAAAAAAAAAAAAAAGTAACCTTAGGCCCTAACCCAGACCTCCAGAATCAGAATTTCCATGGGAGAGGCCTCTAACTCTTAAAGCCCTGGGTGTCAACCCTGGCTGCACCGGAGATCACCTGAGGAGCCCGTAAAAGAACCTGATGCCCTGGCTCTGCCCCCAGACAGCCGCGTTAATTGGTTGGGTGGAGCCCTGGCGCTGGCAGCACTAAAAGCTCTCCAGGTGATTCTTATCTGAGAAAGAACTGAGCTGCCGACTGACTCAGAGGGTGGGAGAGGTGAGTGGGGACATCATCACATGACAGGTCAGGCAGGCTGGGGAGTCTGGACTTTCTCCTTAGGGCAGAGACCTTAAACTAGCCTGATCATCAGAATCACATGAGGTGCTTGCTAAACATGAGGGCTTCCCGGTCCCATCCCAGACCTACAAGTTGGGATCTCCAGGAGTGAGAGGCATGGGGAAAGCCCAAGTTTGTCTCAGGCAGCGAGGGTGCGGCAGGGACTTGGGCTGGCCTGCAGCAGTGGGGCAGGGACCCGAGGAGGTGTCTGGAAGTGGGGAAGAGACCGGGACAGAAGTCAGGGAGGGAATGTGAGACAGTGGCGAGGGTCACCTTCAAGTCCTTGATGTCATCCAGTCCCCGAAGCTCCTTGTCAAGTTTGGTGATGCAGTAACGAATTTTTTCCACCTGGAAGATGGGGACGGGTGCCTTTCTCTCATGCCATTACACCCGTGCAAGAGGGTGCCAGGCAGGAGGCCAGGGAGCTGGGGGGCAAAGAGGGAGGTGCAGCTGACCTCTGCGCTCTTTTGAGATATGGGGCCAGTGGAGGCCTGAGCCGGACCCTCTGCCTAGTGGTCTGGCTAAGGAGGTACCATCTGGGGGGACCCAGCCCTGATGGGAACTGAGGACCTGACCTGCTTCCGGTATGGAGAGATGACGCCCACGCTTCGGGGGCTCAGACGGGCTTTGCCCTTCTTGGAGGAGCGGGCCAGGAGCTGCTTCAGGTAGGAAGTCACCGTGGCAGCCTCTTCGGGGTTGAAGAAGGATGGGCTGTTGCCTTCACGCTCATCCTTGCCCATTACGCCGTGAAAGATGATGGGAAAGTCCTGGACACGGAGTCAGGGGAAACCCTCAGCTGGACCTCCCTGCCTGCCTCCCTTCCCTCCCACCCTCAAACCCTTCCAGGGAGTGGGGGATCCCAGGCCTAGGTGACAAAGGGAGGGGCTCGTGGCTTCCACTCAGAGCCTCCTGCTACCCAGCACCCTCAGTAAGAGGGAGGCTGGGGTACAGGGGTAGGAGCCTGAGCCCCAGCCCCGCTCAGCCTCACCTGTCGAGGCAGACCCTCCCAGCGGCAGAAGCGCTCTCGGTCCACAACGTCCGCACAGGCCTGCAGCTCCCCTTCATAATACAGCTGGTTAGGAATGTCCAGGATGGTGGGGTGAGACCTGGGAGGCAGGAGGAAGGAAGAGCAAGACCAGGGGGCGGATTAGTTCTGCCCCGCCCTCAGGGACCTCCGCTCCACCTGCTTGGAGCTCACACACACTATCCTCCTGTCTTCCCGCCCACTGCATAGCAGACTCATTCAGCTACAGTTTTTGCTGCTGGGCACTGTTAACCACAGAAAGCAGAACCAAATGTGGCTCCTGAGAACATCCAATCCACAGATTTCATAGACCGGTCAAATTTAAGTGAAAACACCAAGAAATGAGGGGCCCATTCTCAAGTTTCAATTTTGTCAAGGAAGGACAATACAAAAGCAAGAATCACCTACTATCGCCATTATTGGATGAGATAAGGTGCTAAATCCAAAAATATCAGCGGTACTAACACAACAGCTAACAGTTATTGAATTCCTAGTGGACTCATCTAAGGAACCAAAGAGGTAGGAACTCATCTGAGCATTTTAGATATACGAACTCACTGACTGAAGGAAGCACAGCTCTTTAACTCGAATAACCATTAGGTTTATGAAACAATACATTGTCCCTGTTTTTCTCATTTCTCCTTGGATGCCTAGAAACTTCACCTGGGACCAGCGTCAGATATATTCCGGTGTCTAGGAACCACTGACCATCCCGTGAGGTACAGATAAGCAACTGGAGGAGCAGGGACGGGACTGGGGAGAAGAACTCCCACCTTCCAGCTGATAGTCTTTCTGCATCACGCAGCCTCTGAGGACGGTGGGATGGAGCCGCCAGCTGCGCTTGCAGAGGGTGTGAAGGCAGGGGATGACACAGAGGGTGCGGGATACCTGTAGTTGCGTAGCAGCTTGGTTATGAACTGGGCGTTATAGCCATCAGGGCCCTTCTTGTACAGGGCATTGTAGGTGAGCAGCCGCTCCAGCAGTGAGTACCCCAGCCCATGCTTCTGGGTCAGTGGGCAGCGCAGCACAGGCCCCAGCTGCCGAGGGTCTCCTGCCAGCACCAGCTGCCCTCCTGGATTGTCTGCTTCCTTGACTTCCATCAGCCCTGGGAGATGGGTAGCGTGAGGAGAAAGGTGTGTGGTGGGACCTCCCCGATGCCATGTGGGGTAACACACTCGCAGCCCCCCGCCCCCGAGCCCCTCACCTGCTATGGCCACCAGGCTCTCTGGCTCCATGGAGTGGCCAGCCTCATCGATGAAGATGTGTGTGAAGTGATCGATGGGAAACTGGGCCGAGACCAACCTGGGAGGTGTCAGGCCAGGCAGGGGTCACATCCAGGCACGCGACTACCGAACCTGAATGCTCCCCCAAGCTGGCCCTCCCCCCAACTCCCCAGGCACCATTCTTCCGCATTTCCCCAGCCCGCTACCTCTTAGCACACAATTTAAGAGATGCGCACACACACACTTCCCACCTGCTGGCAGTGATGAGCGTGG